GCTGAAGTCCCATAGAATTGGGCCTAGGGTGATCAGCCATTTGATCCCGAGGACAAGATCGAACCCATCCAAGGACAGTACAAATAAGTCGGCAAAGAAGAGTTCAGAGTCCACCTGTATTTGGACATTTTTGCAGATTCCGGGGCTGTGGATTCTTTCGCCATTCGTGACGGCTACCTGGAGCTGTGAACGGGGTTCGATTGGTAGATTGAATTGCAGGGCGGTGTGCTCACTCACGAAGTTGTGCGTGCTCCCTGAATCTACGAGTATCTGTACTGATTTGCCTACGATCTGGGCCTGCAACTGCATGGTCTGAGAGTTCTTAATGTCGGTAATGGCATGGAGGGAGATCTCTGGCTCGCATGCTGCGGGTTCTTCGTCGTCCTCCCCTTGCTCATCTACTAGGAGGCAGAAGAGCCTCTTGCACCGATGCCCGACTGAATAGAGGTCATCGCAATTGAAGCACTAGCCCTTCGCCCGTCGTTCGGCCATCTCTTCTCTAGACAATCTCTTAATGGGAGGAGCCACTACGCTGCTCCCCACGCTTGTCGCTAGTCTGGCGGTATTACTTGAGTGGGTCTTCTGTTCTCTGTTGGCCGAAGGAAGGGGATTTGTTACGGTTGATCTCGGGGGAGCCCATGAGGTCGGTGGCCGCCCTGGGCTGATGGTCCCGCGGCTGAGTTGCAACTTGCGTTCAAACGCACGGGCTAGGTTCATGGCTGCTACTAGATTTGGAGGGTTCTGCATCTCTACGTCCACCCTCAGGGGTTCTGATAATCCGCTGTGAACATGTCTACCTACTGGTCCGGTCGCACGGATGATGCTTTGGCGAGGAGGGTTTGGAACTGGCATTGGTACTCTGCCACTGTTCCCGTTTGTTTGAGATTGATCAGCTCGCCCAAGGGGTTACTTGTCAGCGGAGGCCCGACCGAGCCCGAGTTCTTCTTGCTCCAATCGGTAGAACCAGAGCTGGGCTTCTTCTGTTAAGTGGAAGGCAGCCAGGCTAACCTTGTCGCGGTCATCAGTCCGTTGGTTGCGAAAGAACTGTTCGCACCTGTGCAACCAACCCAGGGGATCTCTTTTGCCGTTGTAGGATGGGAACTCCAATCTGCTATATTTTGGAATAATGGTGGCTCCCTGGCTAGTGGTCTGCTGTTCATTGGATGATTCCGATGGGTCTGGTCGGCGATTGCTGGTGGCTRCTGCTYYGTCGGCGTTCCTTTCTCTGTTAGAAAGGAACATCTCCATCAGGCGCCGAAGCTCTCTGATTTCATCCTTGATCTCTCGGACCTCGGAATTGGTTTCTGTGACACGGTGTTCAAGCTCGTGGACCCRAGATGGTAGCTGWTCTGSATCACCCATGAYGCCTTGCTCTRATACCAGATTGTTGAGGRCTCGTGAGTAGGATCTAGTCACGGGGYGATCCAYGGGAAAACCTTCCTGTTTTCCCTTGTCTCTTCCCTTGCGTGAGGTACCTATCTTGCTCTTCTTGGGCGGAGGTGATTTGTTCAAGAGATCACCAACTCTCCTACTTTCTTGAGACTGAATATTCGATGCCTTTATTCCTCACTAGGGTCTCCTTAAATAGGAGAAGATTACAATAGTCCCACTCCTAGCTGGACGTGGAGACCTTCTCCTAATCTAACAAGAGTAAGTCACTCCTTATTTTGATCTAACAAGTAAGTCCTAATCTAATGAGGTAACAAGATAAGATAGGTGCTATCGAAGTAGGTGGGTTGGGGCCCACTGTTGCTATCGAAGTAAGCTCACTGCTGCTGCCGAAGTAGATGGGCTGAGTTGCACCGAAGTAGATGAGCTGGGCTAGGCTTACTGTTGCCGCTGGCGACGCTGGTGAGTCTTCTCAGTAAACGCGTCCATAACAACTGGCCTAACCAAAAAGCATACGATTTGATATAGGCGCATGTACCAGGGCTTAGGATGGCACCACGTGGCATCGACTGCCACTACCAATCACCTCCAACCACTCCCAAGGCAAAGCAAGTATAAATAGAGGTCCCCATCTCCAGGTAAACCATCTTGCTCACTCCTACTCTAGCTCTTTTGCTCTCGAGTGATCTCCTCTGAACTCTCATCTCGAACCTCGTCCGAGCCCTCTTACGTACTTGACTAACTTGACCGTCAGAATCTCTGCCCCCGAGATAACACCCGGGGCCTCTGACGTGTATTTTCTTATTCTCAGGATCGGACACATTGGCCTCGACTAAGGAAGTGAACTTACTTTGTTGCACTTGGCCCATCCTTGGCAGCAACACGATTCAAGTCTAGCAATTTAATCCATTCCGTTCCTCAAATCTCAGTTTCCTTTCCGCTAATGTTTTTTAGGGTAGATTTGTTGGTGCTTTTGCTTTTGTCATCTATTACTAATCAAGGAGAATATGATCTTAATGATACAAATAGTATACTTAGGCTTCAGTTGACATTCCTTATTTTAACTTTTAAGGACTTATCTCTATTTTGCAGTTAAGATGCGTGACTGAATTTTTAACTGCAAAAGGGAAATAAATCCTTAAAATAAGGAATGCCAAATGCAACATTAGTTGGGAGAAAATAAAATAGGAGGGATGAGAGTGAGGAAACAAGATCAGAGTTCTTAAGCCAAACAAAAGGGAATTCTCTATTGGGGAATGCCATCCTTCCAAAATTCTACAAGTATATAGCATCTACAGCATCCTCATCTGGAGACCGGATTTTGCCCTCACAAATTTGTCTTCACAACACTAGCAATGTGCATTTGGAACATCTCGCACTGTTTCAAGTGTTGTGAGGGCTTTATAAGAACAAGTTTTGTGAGGACCAAATACGGATTCCCTTACTTGACAACAAGTGTCCATATTTACGCAGCAGGGCCACTCTCTGAATTCCCTAGTGACCTTGAGATGTTTAACATGCCAACCAATATTTTCAAAACCAGATCAGGCCAGACGATCCGACCAAAAAAATTAGGAATTGGTCACCTGACTGATTCCGTGTAAACCTAAAACCGCTTTTTGGCCAAAAACTGTTTATTGGGTCAGCAAACCACTGACCCAGAAACAGTTTTTGACCGTTTTTAGGTTTTTTAATTTTTTTAAAAATTTTTGTTTTTTTGTCAGTGGGCTATCTGTTCGGACCAGACGGTTGGACCGTTCAACCTGGGAACCGGACCCAGAACGGTTCCCTGTCAAGTCCGGTTTTAAAAACCTTGATGCCAACTTATATTGCTGATATGGACTTGGGGATAGGGGCGATAATCAGTTCGATTTCCTTTTTCTTAGGGGTAGGGGCAATGGTTGAATTTGAACCCACCGGTAATTGAAAGGGTTAAAAAAATCTTGTTTCTTTGAAAAGAAATACAAGTTAAAACACTACACCAATAATTAAGGGGTTGTTCTAGAAGAGCTGAGGTGGCTGACCTGAATGACTTATTTCTGTCTTTTAGTGAGCATACATTATTGTGTAATCCCTGGATCAAATATCCTTAAGGCCTGAAGGGAGCCCTGAACGCTATTAACTCATTTTTCCAATCAAAGAATGACAGCTCTCTAGAGTCTAGACTGTATAGTGGCTTTGGCCAGTGTCACGTGTGAACGTGTTAAGCACAGACATAAAGGCCAATGTAGACAAGTCTAGACAACTCATTTGCTGATTGGAGAAACAGCAATGTTAGCAACGAAACATTAACAACGCTGGTCTGGAAAATAATGCATCCTTTTGTTACAATTCTACCACGTGACAACATATTATCTCATAATTAAGATAATAGAAGCCACACAGGAGAATGTCACGGGTCTAAAGTAAATGTGAACACATAAACCTTGGGCTTCTCCAATGTATAGATTTTGGACCCGGAAACAACCCCTGCTTACTTTGCACAAGTACAAAACCAATGTGATAATTGGAATGGCAGTGAGACAGAGGATCTAAATGCCCCAAGTTGTTGAAACTAAATCAGCAGAGACAAGTTTAACAGTGATCTCTCATTAATTAGCCAAGCTTAGAGTATGACACTCACTGATTTCTTCTCACATTACTAGTAGAAGAATTCTGCTCTGATAGGATCTTTAAGACATTGACTAATGCTCGTAGCCGGTCCCACACATTCAAGCCATAAAGTGCTTCTACAAGTGACTCCTGAAACTCAAAGCAATTTTCTGCAACAGGATACTGCAACCAGAAGAATAAAAAAGGTAAATTAGTACATATTAAAAAAGAAATTATATATGGTAGAATGAAGTTTTCTGCATCAAACCTGAATTGGCTTTGGTATCTTGGTTTTGATGTAAGGCCACCATCTGTCTTCAACAACTGATTTTACAAGACAGCAAGCTCGCAGTCCTTCTACACCAGCAAATCTTCCAAATCCACTATCTTTGACACCACCAAATGGCAGTGACTGAAAACAAGAAGACGTCAAAGATTCAATGAAGTTAACAAAAAAAACATATAGTCAAATGACAAGCCATCTTTCACATGTCTAAACATAATCTAGAATCCACCTTGCAGCCTAAGCTGGGACAGGTGCAGATAAACCAAAGGATGGGAGAATGGTTTGGCAACTGAATATATGATGCAGCCAACTTTTTCAGGTAGCTCCATTTAAAGTTGGAAAGGTTTCATTGTTGGATGGTTCACAAAAATCAAATCTCTAATTCAATATCAAAAGTATAGGAATGGAAGACAAAGATTACCTGGCACATGTAAGTTGATGCAAAGTCATTGATTGCAGCAACTCCACAGTGTATTTGGGAGGCAATTTCTTTTGCACGGCGCTGGCTGCCAGAAAAAACAGCACAACCAAGTCCATATCTTGTGTCATTCGCAAGCTTAATAGCCTCTTCATCAGAACTGAATTTCATTATTGGCATGATTGGTCCGAAAGCCTGTAAGTTGCTCAAGATTAATTTGCTTAGCACTTTTCCAAAGAATCAGTTAGAAGTACAAATAAGGGGTACAGCTACCTCTTCCTGCATCAATTTCATAGTGTGGTTAACATTTACAATTACAGTAGGTGGAAAGAATTGATCAACTGCATCTTCACCCAAATTGCCGAAACTTCCTCGACCAACAATTTCTGCCCCTTTGTCTAAGGCATCATTCACAAGGCTTTGAAGCCTTTCAGCATGCTCTTGGAGACATATTGCACCCATGTCATACTTTCCCGCCAGTGGAGGGCCCTAGGCAAAATTTTCAGTTAAAAAAATTCCATCATTTTATGAAAAGTTAATAAAATTCTATCAGTAGGCCAATAAGCAGATGAAAGGGAGCTTTCCTGTGTAGCTGCAATTTAAGATTTTGATGTACAGCTGATAAGAGTGGTATAGTGTACTTATGTTGAATGAGAACAGGATAAACAGCTTTCTACCTTATTTTTTAGATAAAGACAATGGAATAAAGACATACATGGCAATATTTGGTAATGCTGGACTAAAATTTTCACTTTTCCCAGACATCTGTCTCCTTTGATTCCAATATAAGATATAACAAGAACTATCCTAAATCCTAAACACCCTACATATCAAGTCATAGCTCTCATCCTATTTCAGAAAGAAATAGATTGCCATATGATCTTTAAGATAAGATACAAGGAACACATCCCTCTTAAGTTGCATATGCATTTACTTGTTATTCTTATTACTTTTTAAATCATGAAAAACGGATAAGGAATTTAGACTTATAAATCTTGGGCTGACATGCATGAAAATGCGGGTTCAAGTCTGAGGGCAGCGACTTTGTGCAAAAAAGAATGCCAAAGGTTAGGACTGTACCCAGTCTGCCCTTCCCAAGACCCCAGATAACTGGGGCAACATTGGGTAATGACTTTTTTAAGTCCTTGGCACTGGTATTACCACACAAAGGAAACAGAAAATGTCAAGAATAGGCACATTTTCATATTACAAGCAAACAGAAACCCAGGCAGAAAAATGCAACTTTAATAGAATAACTGGAATAAAATGTGTTGGAAGCAATATACTTACAACACAAACAGATTTTACAATTTTGACCACTTGAGCAACAAATGAAGAATAAACATCCCTATGAACATAAAATCTCTCAGCACCAGCGCAGTTTTGTCCACTTGATTGAAGGACAGCCCTTACAGCAATTTGTGCCACCTATATGGTGAAACATACAATATCACATACACAATGAGGAGCATTCAGGCAAGAGATATGTTGAATTTCAAATCTTAAAAGACTTCCAAAAACCAATCCAATAAAAATATCCTATCAGACCAATAAGACAAATGATAGAAGATCTGCGTACATGAGGTACATCTACATCTTCACAAACAATAAATGCATCTTTACCACCAAGTTCAAGGGTAACTGGTGTCAGATTGTTGGCAGCATTTTTCATGATCTGCAATTAAATCATGGCAACCAATCAGCAATGCATGTAGTGAACAGTTAAATTCTTCGGTAGTACTTTGGTGACTATGTTCAGAAGAGCAACTACCAATTGAAAACTCCTATCATGAAAGTTCAAAAATAGAGAGATGCTAGTAAACCAGTTTATGTAACTTTTCATCTTATTCTCACTGTAGACAAGGTGGGATCCATGAAAAGACATGTCCTACTTTGCTTTCTATAGTGTCTTCTCGTGGATCTCACCATGTATGGACTATGGAGAACAAAGTATACAACAGTTGTGCAAGATCATTAACTAGCACTCCTCTCAAAGATAATTTTCATAATACAGGTACATTTTTTATAAGAGCACTGATGTGCAAACCAGCATTAAGTGTTTGCATGAACATTTTAAGCATAGCCAAGGTTCCCGAAGGCAATAATCTAATGCAGGACATGTTCATGAATCATGAACTGTCCCTAAACAAGGCTCATGCATATAAGAGAATCGCCCCCTTTCATTTATCAAAAAAGAGAATCGACCCTTTTATAAATTACAAATCAAACCATGCATTCATGAACGTATCACATGGCTTCAAGAAGACTCAAGGAAAATATATTGAATGTGTGCTTGCTTTTAACTTAGCTCACAAGTCCAGCTAGGATTAACATAAGTAACCTTAACTGGTGCAACAAAATATAAAAAACCTAACTTCATATCTACGTTTAACATGACATATCTATGTTTAACATATTTCTGTATTATATTTGAGAAACACACACACACACACACACACACACACACACACACACACACACACATATATATATATATATATATAAACATATCATATCTGTGTTTAACATATTCCAGCCCATATAGACATATCATTGTTTGACATATTTCTGTAATATTTGTCAGGAAAGGTGTATTAATGAGTCTATGCAATCACATGGTTTAGGTTAATATCATCTTTAGGCTTCCCATTACTCCTAACACCTTAGCATTTTAAGACACTAATTACCATGGCCTGGAATACCACTGGACAATTTCTTTAGGGAGAGTAGCAGCAAAATCAGATACTAATTGTGGACAGAATGATCTTTTTGCAGTGGAGTGGACTGACTAATAGTTAGCTTCCTTCTCAGAAAATAGAGGACAAACAGAAAGTATCTCTGATATTGACAAATGGAAGAGCATACCATTTTACCAACTCCAGGCGATCCAACAAAAATTATTTTGTCAACTGAAGAAACTAGGGCTTCTCCTGTTTCAGCAAATCTGGCAAGAAAAAAGTTCAACTAGTATCAAAACATTGCAAACTGCCAAGTTATCTAACCAGTAAAAAATACATATATTAACCCACAAACATATACCCTGTTATTACATGGACCAGATTTTCAGGAGCTCCAACAGCAGCAAGAGCTGCTTGAATGATTCGGAAATAGAAACAACCAGACCAACTTGCATGCTCTGAGACCTAAATTACAAAAGATAGGGTTTCCATCAAAGAATCTTGTACATTTCAATTGGCATCAATATATGAAGAAAATTGTCTAAAGCGCCCTTATGCACTTGGTGAACTGTGGCTACTCTGCGGTCTGTACCAATAATATTGTTTAGAAACTTGATTAGAAAGCAATCAGACATTGACATCTTTTTGGATTCTCATTTCAAAGAAGAGATAAGATGATTAGAATGAAAACGGTGTTGTATGCCTATCCAGAAACATTCATACATCTAGGGGTGTTCAAATTCGGTTGATAAACCGAAAACCGAACCGAACCAAACCGAATAAGCAAGTTAGGTTCGGTTATTCGGATATCGGTTCGGTTCGGTTCGATTTTTGTTTAAAAAACGGTTTTCGGTTTTGGCTCAGTTTGGTTGAGATTTTCAACCTAACCAAACCGAAAACCGAATTAGTATTTATTTAATGAAGTATATTAAATATTTAATGTGATCTATTTAATACTTTATGCTAATTAATTATTATATTTCCCAATGACCAATTTGGCAATTTCCCATTGGGCTTTAATTGTTTGTGAATAACTTTTAATTAATAATTGTTAATTAAAACCTAGACTAATCATTAATTGTTCATTAATTATTAATTGTTCTTGAAAAATGCCAATTCGCCAATTCCCATTGGCATAGGGCTTTGGGCATAGCTTTTAATTAATAATAGCTAATTAATTAAAACCATTGGGCTTTGGGGCATTCTAACTTTTAATTAATATAATAATAGTCAATTAAGTTAAACTTTGATGGCAGTTCTGTAGGTAATCCAAGCCCCTCTGGAATTGGGGGTGTCCTTAGAGATGGGGGAGGAAATGTCCTGGCCCTTTCCCGATAAGACTGGGGGACACTCTTAGAGCAGAAGTTCTGGCATTCCTACAAGGGCTCAAGCTGGCTAAACAGCTGGATTTTCAGCAGTTGGAAGTGGAGGGAGACTCGAAACTGGTAATAGGTTGGACGCAAACAAACAGCTTAGGCGCCTGGTCCCTTAGACAACCTGTAAGGGAGATTATGCAACTAACAAGGGAACTTGAAGTCAGGTTTAAATGGACTAGGAGATCAGCCAATGCAATGGCTGATACTTTAGCAAAGCAAGGAGTTAGTAGGCAGAACCTTTTTTGGGCCTGTTTGTAATTTGACGAGGGGTCACCTTGTTTTTTGAAGGTGACAGTTGTACTAAGTTTCTTAAAGAATTAATGAAAGTTACTGTTTCCAATAATAAATAAATAAATTATTTATTAGTTGACAGTTGTACTAAGTTTCTTGGAGGTGCCATTTATGTGGAATTAGGGCCCAACAGAACCAAAAACCAAATCAAACCGAACTGAATTTGGTTAGGGTCAGTTCGGTTCTGAACTCTAGTTTAGTTCGGTTCAGTTGGAGAAAATGGTCAAGCCGAATAGTCAGTTAGGTCCTCAGTTCTAACCGAACCAAACCAAACCGACCGATTGTACACCCCTACATACATCAGGACTCAAACAGCCAAACTCCACATAAGCATGGAAGATATCATATGCAGAATAATAGAATACCCAAAAAACACTGATGTCCACAAAAAAGGTGCAAAATCATATATGTAGCACTTGCAGAAAGGGTGTTTATAGTATAAGTAAAACAACAAAATAAGAATCTGGAAATCATGGCATAAAGCATGGATAGAAAATAAGTAAAACAGAGAACACAAATTCAGACCTTTATCACAACCCCATTTCCAGAAAAGACTGCTGCCAGCATTGGATTAAAGATATTGTGGAATGGATAATTCCATGAAACAATGGCACCAATCACCCCAAGAGGGTGGAATTCCACTTTGGATCTTTTGTGTAGCATTGACCTTCCAAAAGACCTGAAATTCACAAAAGAATAACATCTAATTTATGTTGTATGTATTTAGATGTATACATTCTAAACAAGTAATAATTAAGATGGTAGTGGTACTAATACTGAACAGTTAAGAGTTATAGAATCCTTTTTTTATTAGTAACCATAAAGCTTTATTATTGATAAAAAAAAACCATAAAGCTTTATTGGATCTTTTCAGAAAAAAAAAATTGTAGTATATACAATATGTCATACCAGTGTATCAAAATGTTAGAAACTCATATATACCATATAAGGTTCATGTATAATACGATTTTTATATATAATTCTGCTCTTTTAAGTTTTTTACATGTATCTCTCATCAACAAATTAAATGCAAAGGTTAAGGAAGTCACAATACTAAGACTGATTCCTTTTTTTTAAATTAATACTAAGATTGATTCTTTGGAATTTCATCACTACAAAATTTGTTTTATTGATCAACCATTGAAGAGTTGGACTAAAACAAAGTCAAAAAGCAATTATTCTCATATAAAACAAAGTTAATAGGTGAATATTCACCTATTAGGTGAACTGCAGATTGTTCAGTTATACATGCCAAAATCTTAAAGTTGGAATATCAAAAGCCATAACATTTGGGATAAAGAAATGTTCAAATGGGAACCTGTACTCAGGCTTCAGCCACCGCTCACCCTCTGCAAGAAGCCAAGTGATCTTCTCACATGTCGTCATTATTTCACCCAAAGAAGCATCTACCATTGTCTTCCCTGTATCTCGAGAGGAGGTTCTGTTCAGTATAAAACAAAGATTAGGGAAAGTCCTAATGATTAAGAAAGATTTTAGCCTAAGGGAAAAAGTGGCTTATGAGTAATAAAAACCATTTGTGTTAAATTCACACAAAAATGAGCTATTTACAATAAGCTTCTTGTTGAGATTTGGTTACTTGTTGCAGTTTAGAGGTTAATGAAATGACTAGTTTTAGTGGACATACACATTAAGCCATTAATAAGGCTGTAGATTGTTTGAATCAAGAATTTAACAAGTAGTGCTTTTTCTAGTAGCTGGTTTTTGTTTTATTTTATTTTATTTTTTGGCCTTTGAAAAGTGTGTAAATAGCTAGTAGCTGGGTTTTATTACAGTGGCAACTATTTTCAGAAACCATTTATAAGCGCATTACAAAGGATACTATTAATTTGCATAATATTGATGGTTTGTCTACTTATGAAAAAAAAAAATTAACTAAAGTTATTATATCAAAAGCAGTAAATCACTACACTAAAAACTTCCTGACAAACAGCTCATGCATACATCTTGTTGAGGAGACAATAAATAAACATGTAAATATTCTCTTCTGAAAATGACAGAAAGCCGTGAAATTAGATTTCTTTTCATATGGAGTGATAGGCCTCTAGAATTTGCTTCCAGAGCAGCTTTGGGAGGGAGTAGGATATCTTTAAAATAAAGCATGTTTGAATATCAGCTTCCATTTATTTCCTGCAACAGTGTTGAACAAGGTTCTACTTTTACTCCATATAGAGTGCTAAGCCTCTAGAATTTGCTTCCAGAGCAGCTTTGGGAGGGAGTAGGATATCTTTAAAATAAAGCATGTATAAATGTCAGTTTCCATTTATTTTGTGCAACAGTTCTGAACAAGGTTCTACTTATACACCATATTGTAGAACTTTTTTTTTTATCGATACCATATCATAGAAATTAGTAACCAAAAAAGATTCATATGATCAATTTCTTGTCTAAAAGCTACTAGCCGCAGAACTCTCAGAGGCAACCCAAAAAAAAGGAAAAGAAAGAAAGAACAGAATAGTGTACACTCATAAGAAAAAAGAAAAAAGGACAGCAGCTACACAAGCAGCACAAGATTGCAACAGATAATACAACAATGTCAACAGAATTACAAAAAGGATATTTACCCAAGAAGTTGTTACAAATAAAAAACTGATCGAGATAAAGAAAATTTGGATGCCAGAACTGTTTCCATATGGCATAAAAACAAATGAAAACAAACAAACAAATAAACTAGGAGGCTTGATGCATTTCTACTAATATTCCAAGTAGTTGAAGTACATCTTTATCTTATATGCAACATTGTATTCCTTACTCGCATATAAGCTCTTGATGTTCAATAATATATTTCAGAAGTATCCGCAGAAACTGGCGCCTTTGCTTAAAGCTACTCTTTGCCCATATCTTTTGAGCCTTCCTAGCCTGTGTCACATGCTCCTTGACCTGACAATTTTTAATTTATTCATATTCAGGAGATAATTCAGAAAAAAAATGCAGTAGTTATGATAGAGGCTGGCAATAATTTACATATTAGAAAAATTATTTATTACATATAACAGTTCTTTCTTATAAGTGTATGTTCATATAAAACATCTATATAATTATAATATGCTACATAGAAGTTATAGCAGAATTAATGTAAGGATGCCGTCATCAGGCTATTGCATGGGCAAGGCAAGTGTGCTGGTCTATTGCTTTCAGGTTTTGACAGCCTTGGTATGAAACAATATTAGAGTTCAAAGACCAATGTTAAAAAAGAAGATGGAGGTCCGATCAATTTGGAGCCTCAACTTATGAAACCATCTGCCAATTAGTGGATTTAAATATACAGATACATACACGATGTATTAATTCAAAACAAGGTTCGTGTATGGAGAAAAGGAAATTAATATAAATGTAAGAAAATTTGGTTGAGTAAATAGTAATTATGATGTGCAATTTTAGTAATAACAAAAAGGCAAAATTGAGTATTTGAGTTGGTTGCATCTTAAGATATACAATGAAGGAAACGGGTCAGTGCAGTCAAAATATCAAATCGAATTTGTTTCTGAACATGACTGTATATAACCACCTACCTCATCAGGAGTCAAAGCAGGGAAGAATCCCAAGTACTTCATTGTTGCGGGCTCGTAACACTGAACTCTATCCGTCTGAGCTGCCTTCCCCCTCCTCGGTATCTGCAGCAAGATCAGACAGCATAGCAAAAGAATAAGAGTTTTAGCATAAATGAACCTGGGGTTTAACTGATTAATCTACTATTTATCCTGAAAGCTTCTCAAACTCAGTGGCCAAAAATGAATTTTATTGAAATATTCTGAGCCTATGGAGTTCGACAGCATAAATGTTCGCCCAAGAGTTCCTAGCTTCTTCAAATAGATGAAATAAGCATGTAAACATAAATTTAAGCAAATACACTAAATAGAAATACTAGTTAGAGCACATTTCACTCCTTTGTCGTGCTTGTTTTTTCTTACACTATTGGATGCCAATTTAGTAGAAGAAATGCGAATTCGATAAATGCTTTACAAATGAATGATCTGAAATCCAGACAAGGAATCTCGTCCAGCAGAACCCCTCAATTCTCAACAGATCAGTAATAAAAGGAACAGCATTTTGAGAAACTCACATAAATGAAACTGTTCTCCTTGGTCTGACTTCCATCATCCAGCACTGCCATGAATCCGAAGCTTAGTAGTAGACCAGCATAAAACGAAGAAAAAACAACAAAAACACAGAACATAACCGACAGAAGAGGCAAAGATCGATACCATCAGAAGCATCGACGTCAATGGAGGGAACGTTAGGAGGTATGAGCATCAACAAGAATCGACAGATCGCGAAAGCGAAGCCAAGAACGAGCAGAGGCCACCAGAACGCCATTAATGGTTCAGAATAGGAAGCTAAGCAGAAGCCCTAAGAACTATGAAGGATATAAGAGCAAATGCTCCTCCCTCCAACGATGTCTTTCAGTGGCAAATTTATACAGAAGCAAGAAAGAAAGAAAGAAAGAAAGAAAGAAATGGAATCCGAAAAAAGAGAAATCCTCAAGTTCTTGAGATTTGTTTTTGCTTTTTTTTTTTCGTCTTATGTTTTCTTTTGAATGTAATAGTCGGCACTATTTGCATTTGCTTAGAGTCACCCGGGAATCCATGGATCTGATTCCTCTTGAGTATCGTGACGATGGCAGGTTTTGAATGAGGTTGTAAATTAGAGGAACAAACGGGGGCATTTGTTCTAGAACTCGTTCACACAATCACACTTACCACTTCGAGCTGAGAGATTTCTCTCTGTTTATTAATTGAGAGTGGCTGACAAACATCCGTCCATTCATCTAGTGGGACCAGCAGAAACGACACAACTTGATCGTGGATGGACAGACAGAGATTCCTCTTCCTCGTATTCTAATCGGGGCTTTGATTTTTGAACAGAGGATTCGGAATTACGGGGGGAAATTTCTCGCCTTGACGATAGTGCGTGACCTTTTGCTTTTTGGTCCATTGTTGTTATCTTTCCGTCGCAACTCGCATCGCCCCGAATCGTGAATTCGTGATCCTACCTGTAAACTGTGTCATGTTAACGATGCAAGAGACACGTGGCACGACCAACGAGCTGTCAAACCGTTATACTAAAATTCGGGTGCAAACCGGATCCAATGCATTTGGACTGGATTTTCTCTTCGAGCACACTAAAATTTTGACATGTCGATCGGTGCTCAACTGGCAATTACCTGCAACCGGCTGAAGCGTTATGACTAATAAAATATTTTTAAATAAAAAATTGAGGAAGAAAGAGTGCTCGTGGTCCGGTATGAGTTCTACTTCTTTATGCGAGTAATATCATGACAACCATTGCGCCAACCGGTGAATCAATTCTGGCTAACCGGTGAATTAATTCTGGCACGTGCTCGTTGAACAGTATACCTGAAACCTTTTGCACCGTGTCATGAACATTCACCCCCAACCTCTCCACCCGCCCCTTAAAGTTCACAATCCCGACTATCAGTCCTGAGAACAAGAAAACCATCACTAAAACCGTTTGGCCGTCCTCCATCATGTTCATGCCCGTCTCTGCTATGTCATAAGCAATTAGCATCGCTAGCGCGCTACGCAGACTGTGGTCGGTCATGTTTATGCTCAGTTCCTCATTTGGGTATTGATGCATCAGCCGCTTAACTTCACTCAGGATCTGCTCCTGAGCCGAGTACTTATAGAACTGGCATGAAAATGTTATTGTACCATATACCGAGATACCGCTTGGTAGAATTGTTTGGACTGAAGAAGCCTAAGGCCAAGGCACCTCCTGTGAACGCTAAAATCTAGTTATCACTTATCATTTCCCTTGATTTAATCCCATCATTGTCGGTGATTCAAGTTAGCAAAATCGATGACGAAAATGAAATAATAATAGAACAGAGCACCCCTGAACGGTTCTTTTGATATTGAGATCTGATGTGGGTTAGCCTGGCCCAGCCCATCGTGGGCTAGGAGGCCCAACCCACTAACGTCTGACAGCATCAACCACAACAGGGGGGAGCCCTACTGCCTTCGTACGGAGCCAACCACATGACGGTCAGACGTACCCACCAGGGGCTGCCGCCTGACCTCGTACAACTCTCATCCGGTTAATCTTCACCTACCTCCAACACACTCAAGTATAAATAAGAGGTAACTCCCCCTTAAAGGAGATCCGGAACAAGGAATTCTAACACAACTCACTCATTTACTCCCCGCACCTACCTTGCTCCCTTAGCATTTACTCTGGGAGATCCAGTGCATTCGAGGATTGTCACCAAGACCTCGTCTTCACCCTCTCCTACTTTACACCTTGTACTAACCTGAGCGTCGGAACCTCTGCCTTGGGTCTCCACCTGAGGCCTCTGACATTCCCTGTTTTGCAGTACCCCCAGTCTCCAAGAACCTCGTCACCGAAGGAACAACCTACAGCCTCGGCTTCTACGATCCTCGGAAGGAATATCTCACCTCAGCCTATGGTCCTCAGCTTCGACTCACCTCTTCCGAGGCCTCGAAGTCTTCGGCCTACTTTCAGAACCTAGAGAGTGAATTTATCTCGTTGCCCCCAACCAATCTGTGCGGCAACAATTGGTGCCATTTGTGGGAAACGTTGCTAAGATGACCCCCACTTTAGGATAAAAAAAAACTCTAAATCCAAGCCCTCTTAAGCTTGAAAGCCATGGTGAGAACCAAGAACAATCAGAACCTGGTCACTTATGAACAGTTTCAGGCTGTCCTCGATCGTTTGGACCGCCTATCTCAACGTATGGAAGAAGTTTGCCCCCGAGTAGGAGGTCCCTCTCGAGGTGACTACCCCGCTGGGGTGTCAGAGGATCAGGGCCGACACGAGCATGTCAAGCCACCAACCCTCGGCCATGGTAACTCACTGGCCGAGCCATCAGAATCGGGCAACAACCGTCCTCCAGATTCACCACAAAGGACCATCTGTCCTCCTAGCCGAAGAGAAAGCGTGCCTGCTCAATCCGAAGATAGTCATCAACCTTTAGAGCAACACCACCGTTGCCAGAGGGAGGTCCCCCGGGACGATGACAGGCATCTCGGCCGCCCTGGAGTTTGCTCCCGAGGTGAGAGCCGACGCCACGCCACTCCCCCTCCCGCCTCGGATCTCTGGGACGTTTTGAATGATCGTCGCTCCCGCAAAGGACCACGCGACCCTGTCTCAAAGTATTCGAGAGTCCGAGTTGACACCCACCGAGTCCGCGAGGACAGAAGCGGTACCCATGCCCATGCTGACCCAGGGTTTACCGAGTTGCGAGCCGAGATTGGGGCTGTCAAGGACGAGCTCCGCCAGGTTAAGGAGAGTCGAGCCGACGCCTCAACCAACCACAACAACTCTGCAAACCGCATTCACCCCGGAAATCATTTTGGAGCCTCTTCCTCTACACTTCAAGGCTCCCACACTAGAAACGTATGATGGGAGAATCGACCCCGATGACCACCTGGGGGGTTTCAGGGAACTCATGATACTCTACGGGTACTTCGACACCTTGACATGCCAAACCTTCCAGGCCACCTTCAAGGGGGCCGCTTGCCGCTTGTTCTTCAGCCTCCCTCCTCGATCAATTAGTTCGTGGGAGCAATTTACAACTTTGTTCCTTGCTTGCTTCATCAACAGTTGATGATGCCAGAAAAGCGTAGTCTCTATGATGTCACTCAAGTAGGAGTCGGGTGAAAGCCTACGGTCCTATATTGACCGCTTTAAGAAGGAAGAGCTCGAAGTTCGAGACCTTGACCCTATGGTCTCCATGCACACTGCCATTAACAGACTCCACCTCAGCTCGGCCCTCAAGTGCTCAATCGCCAAGACCCTGCTGAAGACTAAGCTTGAATTCTTCAAGAAAGCCCAAAAATACATTGCGGCCAAAGAGGCTTCGGCCGAGGACAACCAAGAAAGGACAGTCGAGCGTCATAACGGGCCCCTAGAGAAGAAGAGGAAAGGGGGGGACCAGCACCACCCAGGTAACCATGGCGGCAAAGACAACAAGAAGCCATCGGCCCCAGCCTTGGCTTACAAGGACTACACGCCACTCAACTCCACCTGCACTCAGATACTGATGCAGATTGAGGAGGAGAAGTTTGTGAAGTGGCCAACGAAGTTGAAGCAGAACCCCAAGAGGGAGAACCATACGAAGTACTGCAAGTATCATCGCGGCATCGGGCATGACACCGAGGATTGCTATGATCTAAAGAACGAGATAAAGTCCTTTATCCACCGCGAGCACCTCAAGCAGTTCGTTAGAGGAGAGGCCAACGCCTCATCCTCCCAGCAGTAGCAGCAACAACATTAGCAAGTGGCAGGCGTCATCGACGTCATTGCCAAGGGCATGGCCTCAGGTGGAGCCTCAGCCTCGGCTCGAAAAGCGTACGCCAGGCAGCTTAACATCCAGGAGCCTGCCCTTGAAGAAGCAGAAGTACCCGAATGCTCCGTAGAGGCCAAGCTGTCCACATGCTCTCGTCTTCACCAAAGAAGACTTAGAGGGGGTGGGTCATAGTCCCCCATGACGATGCCCTCGTGGTCGCAGCCATCATCTCCAATTTTATGGTGAAGAAGATCTTGGTGGATAGTGGATCGTCAGCCGATATCCTTTTTTACAACACTTATGAGAGAATGAAGCTCGCGCCATAGCGGCTCTAGCCTATCAATGTTCCCCTCGTCGGCTTCTCCGACAGTATCGTCAGGCCGGAAGGAAAAATTGCCCTACCCATCACGGTAGGGACAATACCACACCAGGTGACCTGGATGCATGGGTTCTTGGTGGTGAAGGTTGCTTCTCCCTACAACGCAATAATGAGGAGGCCAACCCTTCATGCACTAGGGGCAGCCATATCCTTCTATCACCTGGCCCTCAAGTTTCCCATCGAGCACAGCGTCGGAGTTGTTCGTGAGAACCAACAGATCGCTCGCCAATGCTACGTGGTGGCGCTAAAAGGAAAGAATAAGGAGGCCTTGTACTGAAAGGCCTCGACCTCCGGGAGGAGCTAGCAAGCTGAGGACCTCATCTCGGTTCTCCTGGATGAGGCAGCCCCAGAGAAGATAGTCCGCATCGGGTCCAACCTTCCTCCTGAATGCCTATCTGAACTAGTAAGTTTCCTCAGAACTAACGTCGACGTCTTTGCTTGGTCCGCCGCTGACATTTCCGGAATTGACCCCTCATTCATTACTCACAGGCTGAGCATGGACTCGAGCTCTATGCCAATCCGACAAAAGAAGAGGAACTTTGCACCAGAATGATGGAAGGCCATAGGAGAGGAAGTTGATAAGCTATTTGATGTCGACTTCATCCGTGAGGTACATTACCCTAATTGGTTGTCTAACGTGGTTTTGATAAGGAAAGCTAATGGGAAATGGTAGATCTGTATTGATTTCATAGACTTTAATTGAGTCTTCTCGAAGGACAGTTTTCCTTTGTCAAGGATAGACCACATCGTCAATGCTACTGCAGGGTATGAACTACTCAACTTCATGGACGCCTTCTCTGAATACAACCATATCCAGATGAACTTCGACGATGAGGAGAAGACCTCGTTCATCATTGAGCATGACACGTACTGTTACAAGGTAAT